TCTCTCTCTCTCTCTCTCTCTCTCTCTCTCTCTCTCTCTCTCTCTCTCTCTCCGTTTCCCTCTCCCTCTCCTACTTGTGGATCGGATGTAAGTTCTCAGTTACTGCTTTGGTGTCAGGCCAGCCTGCCTGCTGTCATGGTTCCTGCCTTAAGAGCTTAGATTTTCACTCCCCGTATCTTTGAGCCCAAATAAATGTTTCCTTTTATAAGCTTCCTTGGTCATGGTGTCTTACCACAGCAATAGAAAAATAACTAGAACAACACTTATTTAATCGCCTATTTAATGGTAGGTAGTTTACTTCATGTCGAGTGTACCTCTTACAATTCCGAGACGACCTATTTAGAGTAGAGACCACATTTCTCAGCTCCCATACAGCAGATGAGGACTCAGGGACTTCATGAATGAAGGACGCAGAACCCCAGGACTCCAGGCTCACTCCTGCTGCTTGTTCCTTGTATAGCCACAGCCTCAGCGCAGAAGCAGGTGAGTTTCTACTGTTAACCTTTAAGTGTAACTTACAAGAGTTTTCCTGGACATAATTATTTGATGCAGGTGGTTTGGTTCATGTTTCTTTCTTTAACCGTGCCATCATCTTCTGTAGGTCATTATTTAAAATGCTATTAAAATAGAAACAACTAAGACAGAGAGTAGAAAAATTGCACTCGAGGAAGAAGATAATGAGAAAGTTAATAGAAATGCTATTTAGTAACAGGGGTGGCTTTGTGAAGTCTTGAGAACTTATGAGTCAACGAGCTTGATTTTTATTATATCTGGTTAAACTTTAAAGACATGAACCCAGGGTCTTACACAGCTAGGCTAGTACTCTTCCATTGAACTACATCCTCAGAGAGTTCATCTTAATTTGAAATAGAGTCTTGCTAGATTGCCCAAGCTGATCTTCATCTCCCAATGTCTCAGGTCTTGAGTAGCCTGGATCGCAGGTGTATACCACCACGTCTGGCTTTAATTCAACCCTTAGTACTATACACAGGCATATGCATGTATACCATCACACCTTCCATGTTGATTCTCATGGTATGCCTGCATGGATCTTTGGTTTTTTTTTTTTTTTTTGATGGGTCCTGCCCTTCCTAAAAAGAGTTTTGTCCATGTCTCCTTAATTTGTAGTCAGTTTCAGATCTACGTCTAGCTGTGTCTTACTCTGAAATCAACCCCAGCTCTAGCTATGACGGCCTTGATTCTGAACCTCTGTAGTGCACAGAGCTTTCCTCATGATGATGTGTCTGTTCCCCAGAGCTCTGTCCTGGACCACCTACCCTCCAGGAAGTGCACTGCACTGGGCCCTGGATGGAATAGCTGCTGAATCACAGGTCCTCCTTGCAGATGGCTTACTCTAGAGTCAAAGAGGTGCAGGAGCAGGCATAATTGACCTCTAGTGATCTGAAGAAGAACTTTTGCTTCCTGATTCGCATCCCAACTCCTTCACTGCAGAGAAAGTGGGTAGGTAACACCTGACATGCACCAAGTCATCCGGATATAGCTCCCAGTTTTTATTTCAAGGGCTCAGAAATAGAAAGGAGGCAGCGAGAGGGGAGGGAACAGAGCCAGCGGTGCATTCCTGTATCTGTCTATGTGCTGGGGCAGGATGGGAAGAACATTAGGATAAACATGAAGGAATGCAGGCTGGGACTAACTGAGCATGTCTGTCAGGTTAAGAGTGGCATTTGAGGCCATCGCTCTGACTGCCTGGACCATGAGGCCATTGCTCTGACTGCCTGGACCACTCACTTGCACAGAAACGTCTCGTTTCTAAGCTAACTGTGCTTTTGTGAAGTGAAGTGAGGATAGTAACCTCATTCCTTTGAGATTCTTCACAGGCAGCACTGTTTACGAAAGAAATCAATGAACAGGGAATGCAAAAAACAGAGACCTGAGAAAAAGAGTAGTTGTGTCTTTTTTTACACAAAATAAACATTCAAATTATACTTCCAAAATCTGGCACAGAAAAATGAAATTCAAACCATAATCATTTCATAGGGTCATTATCTAAAAAAAGGGGAAAACAAATTTATTTATGCTTATCAAAATCCAGGCTATAACATTTTAAGCAAAATCATATGTCATGCAATAGTTGAAAAGTTGCAAACTCCGTTAAGTGTCAGCTTCTGGTTTGTTTATCACCACTTTGCTGTTGTTATTAATTCACTCATAAAAGGACCATAAGCTACACAATAATTGATAATAATTGCTAAGGTAAAGCATATGCTTTATGAGCAAATATTCATTGGTGTTACATCTTAGGAGGCATAGAAATACAGCAGCAAAGAAAAAGGCAAACAATGTGCTTCTCATTATCTCTCGATTTCGTGGGAAGCATCAAGCCAGGTTAAACTGATAATCTTTACTTTCTTCAGTCATTACAGCCAAGGAAGGAATGGGCATGCTAGCTTCCATCTCAGACTGATTCAGTGGGAGATGTGTGGGACTCCCTCTCTCTAGTGCTATTTTCCTTGATCACGCTCCACATTACCCTTTGAGACAGGTTCTCTCATGAAACCTGGAGCTGGCCATTCGGTCTAGAATGGTGGCCACTGAGTCTCGAGAGTCCTTGCTCTGCCTTTCCAGTGCTGAGGATACAGGTGCCACCGCATGCACATTTTACATCGTGCAGAGGATCGCAGGCTTTCACATAGCTAACACTTTACTGGCTGAGCTTTCTCCCTTGCCCCTCAACAGAGACAGCTCTTGAAGTGTGTTCAAGCAGATAGGTGAGTACCACCATTGTGGACTTCACAGCTTCCAGTCTAACTCACCAAAGGAGGCGACACTGTAATACTCCACTATATTTTATCACCTTACAAACAGAAGAGCAAGGCCCTCGGAAGAGGTTATCCTGAGTGCGTCTACAGTGTGCAGTTTTGCTTGGAAAGCAACGGAGCTTGGCAAGGATCTCTGGTTTTCATGAATTTCAGTGAAACAACAGCTGTCCAAGGTTATATGGCAGAGGGGAAGGGGCAGTATTATTGTTTGCCACGAGGTGTGGCTCATTTGTTCAATTTATGTCTCTCTTTGTAGATGGGACACTCACAGACTTAAGCTAGCATGGTAAGAGAATGATGAGCCCCTTCTGCTAGCTCCTGGTTAACTCTCAGTTCCCAGGACTACACAGGGTACCTGCTGCCTTCACTCACTAACCCTCACCCCATTACTAGGAAACATTCCTAACGTAGGAGCTCCATCATGCATCTCCCTCTGCTTCCTGCCGGTATCCAGTGAGCACTTGTCTTATGCTCCTACAGCCATGTCTCCTGACCACGACGGATGACTGCAAGCCATGAGCCCCAGTAAAACCACCCAAAGGAAGTATTTGAAAAGGAGCTGTGAGTTTTCCGACACTTCCATAGTCTCCTAAGATCAAAAGATTGAAGAGACACGACCTTATGGAGCTCTGTGCTTTTTAAGATCCCAGTTTAGAAACGGAAATTTTTTTCCTAGTAAGTATTTATAGCTTGGTGGAGTTTATGCCACATGAAAGCACGCACTGCTAGAAGTGGTAGCTTATTTATGAGGTCTGAGGATGACATCAAGGAATCGGCGATTCTAGTATAGGAGGATAAAAATCAAGCAGTCCTTTTTTTTTAAAGATGGAAGAATTCAGGCAAAATGATTACAGTTATGAGGAATCGTGGGAAAGCACATAGATTTCGAGAGGGTATGGCTTGCTGGGGAACTGGGAATTAGGCAGCATCTCTGTGTGCAAGTGTTGGCAGAGATGTAGAGAAATGAAGCAGCATCAGATTTGGGAAGTCT